ATATCCCAATGTTTAAGGGGATTTACAAGTAGCCTAGCATGAGTTTTGTGTTACTCTTCCTGACATTATGTATTGATGAAGAACCTTTTACAACATAGAAATTGTTACTTTGGAAATTGAAATCTCATTATATTCTAAAACATTGACAAGAAACTTTGCATGTGGTCATGAACTAATGAAGAATCTCCTGGTAGAAAGTAATTGTCATCTTGGAAGCTTAAATTTCATTGTGTTGACAGAATATTGATAAGCAACCTTTCATTTATAAATAATTACTAATCTGTAGTGTTACTGCTCCCACGTTACATTTAAGGAAGATTTTCCTGTAATATAGAAATTGTGATTTGCAATCTGCAGGTTTTTGTATTTGTTGTTATAGATATCTGTGCATGTTACACATCAATAGTCAAAGCCTCAGCATGCCCAATGCTCAGGAATGATAAGATTTGTAGGCCAATTCTTAGGGAGTCAATGTTGGAAAAATTCAGTCTCAAAGGACTGCATACCTATTCCGAACATAGTGATCCCAGGTTCTGCTGTTCGTTCCTTTCAACATTAGAAAGCAGGGCTGCCAATTGGCCAGGTAAAACAATGCAAAACAAAACCACCTGATTTCACTCTTGCGGTACTCTTTCAACTCCTTGACAAACAGAATCTGGCAGGTCGTTCACACCACAACAGAATCATGAGCCCCTTTTAGCCCTTCAGTAACCATGGATACATTGCTGACCTATATATTGGCAGGCCTCCGGGCACACAGAGAGCTTTCTACAGATTTAAAGCATTCAGAGCCAAGAATTCGAGTCTTGTGGATAAAGCTTTCTCCTTGAATATGCCCATTTATGTGCTGGAATGCAATTCTGCTTTCTAGTGTTGTCAGAATACAGCTCTGCAGGTGAGGCATTCAGTTGAGTCTGAACAATCAAGGGAGGTTGTTGGGACTATATCTCAGTACTATCTCTCTCACACATAAATGCCAGGAGAAGTGACACGGGATCTCATTACACTAGAGCACAGATCCATTTTAAATCCAGTTTCTGCCTCCTGCAGAATTCTGGGGCATGTACCGTATATTCTGGTGTATAAGACTACTTTTTAACCCAAGAAAAACTTCTCAAAAGTCAGGGGTTGTCTTATACACAGGAGAAGTCTTATACGCGGGAGTAGTCTTATACCCGGGAATAGTCTTATACGCAGGAGTAATCTTATACACGGGAGCCATCTTATAGAGCGAGTGCTGAAACTTCCAATCGGATTGGAGAATCTGTGGTTGCCGCATATGGTGGGGGAAGCTCAAAAATGGCAATGGCAATGACTGTATGAAAGCATTAACGGTGACGCTGTACAAGTACAGTAGAAGAAAATCCATTCATCAGGATTCGTGGACTTAATGCGGTCCCGATGGTGAGGTGAAGGGGCACACCTCCTCCTCTGCCTCTCAGATCTCTCTCCTGAAGACTGCAGTGAAGTGGTGCAGGTGCGCAGGTGCGAGATCTGAGAGGCAGAGAAGGAAGTACAGTAATAGGAAAATTACCATATTGAAATCAAATCTGATGCTTTTTGAATTTTTATTTGGTGTGCATTGGAAGAGGGGTAGTCTTATACGGCAAATATATCCCAAACTCTATATTTTAACTGGAAAAGTTGGGGGCCGTCTTATACGCCCAGTCATTTTATATGCGGTAGTTTAGGAAGAGACCTTTAAACTGCTCAGCCAAGCAGGTGCTGGGCCTCACTAAACTACAAATCTCAGAGTGCTGCAGGAGACAGAAACCAGATTTAGAGTGGATCCATGCTCAGGTGTGATTAGGCTGATAGGCAGATGCACAAGTGTGATTCTTACATCATCAAATTTACCTCACTGATATAACTGGCTATATGAAAATTCATAGAGGACTTGGCAATTTAGAAGACCCAAATTTCTCACTTATTAGGAAGCGTTCATAGAACTTAACTTTTCAGGCCATGCCATCAGCAGGATTTCTGAAGAAGGTAATGGCAAATCACCCCTGAGCATTTCTTGCCTAGTCAACAGGCAACTTGAAAGCACACACCATTTAACTCAGGGGTCTTCAAACTAAGGCCCGGGGGCCGGATAAGGCCCTCCAAGGTCCTTTACCCAGTCCTTGCTCAGGGTCAAATTAAGTCTGAAACCACTTGAAAGCACACAAGAACAACAACAATCCTATCTCATCAGCCAAAAGCAGGCCCACACTTTCCATTGAAATACTAATAAATTTTATATTTGTTAAAATTGTTCTTCATTTTAATTATTGTATTGTTTTTAAGTGTTTTTTGCACTACAAATAAGATATGTGCAGAGTGCACAGGACTTCATTCATGATTTTTTTTCAAATTGTAATCCGGACCTCCAACATTTTGAGGGATTGTGACCTGGCCCTCTGTTTAAAAAGTTTGAGGACTGCTAATCTAACTTACCAAACGATGGAGCTGAATAGACATTTCTGACTCAAGGATTAGTAATCTTTATGCTTCTTTACTTCCCATGTCCCTTTGGAATCGCAGAGACATAAAACATGGCTAAAGCATATCCTTACTTTGCTCTTGGTAGTTTCATTTACTTTGCCAGCAAACTCTAGGAAGCCAGATATAATTACATTCTTACATTTCAAAGGGTTATTTTAATTGTTTATTACCCGATATTAAGAAGTAAACAGTGTTCAGCTTTCAGTGCCTTCTATAAAGTTAATCTAGTGCTAATGGGGTTTAAGATGTTCACTGCAATGGCAACAGGGATGGTGTCGTCTCTGGCTCCCAGTAGATGAAGTGATGTGATATCTGGGAATGCTCATAAACATCCCATCTGCTGGAGAAAAAGTTCAGCAATGGAACCTTCACACCAGTTTTCTCAGCAGATTTTTAAAACTTGCCACAAACTTTAGGGACAAGGGCAGTTTCAGAGGCATTCTTGGTTTGTAATGATAGCAGTTTTTTTTGTCGTGTCAGGAGTTACTTGAGAAACTGCAAGTAGCTTCTGGTGTGAGAGAATTGGCCGTTTGCAAGGGGACGTCTGGATGATTTGATGTTTTTATCATCCTTGTGGGAGGCTTCTCTCATGTCCCCACATGAGGAGCTGGAGTTGATAGAGGGAGCTCATCTGCCTCTCCTCGGATTCGAACCTGCGACCTGTCGGTCTTCAGTCCTGCCGGAACAGGGGTTTAACCCACTGCACCACCGGGGGCTCCATGATGGCAGTTGTAATGTATAATAATAGTTCATCCCAACCTCATTTTCAAAGTTTCCAAAAGCATTTATTTTTTGCAGTTGTTTTTTTTATAGTTAGGTAAAAGTAAACATTTACCCTGATGTTAAGTCTAGTCGTGTCCGACTCGGAGTGGTGCTCATCTCCATTTCTAAGACAAAGGGCTGGCATTGTCCATAGATGCCTCCAAGGTCATGTGGCCGGCATGACTGCATGGAGCAGTGTTACCTTCCTGTCGAAGCGTTACCTATTGATCTATTCACATTTGCATGTTTTTGAACAGCTAGAAGCTGGAGCTAACAGTGGGAGCTCACCCTGCTCCCTGGATTCGAACTGCTAACCTTTCGGTCAGCAAGTGCAGCAGCTCAGTGCTTTAACCCAACCCATTGTGCCATCGGGGGTTCCCTTAATAGTTAAGATAGCAGTTTGGAAAACAGACCAAAAAGGTTTGGTGTTGCCTACAACCTGCCCAGCCAGAAAATGCTACATTTTAAGGGACAGAATGTACAGTACTACAATGATCTTCTACCTTTCTTTCATGGGATAGTCAGATGCAAAAGAGGGTAAGGCTCTTTTACAGAGAAGAATATATTTCAGCAGGCAAGAGATATAATGCAAATTACAATTGCTGAAATTCCCTCGTCTATACAATAATTAAAGATAGAGAAGCCCTAACCCCTTATGAATTTAGGTACTCTATTCCACTCTTCACCCAGATGATTAGGGGGGCATATTATTTCCCCATATTTGATTGTATCCTGCTAATCATTGCTAGTTCTGAAACACTGATCTAGAGACCACTTCCATGCACTCAAATAATTTACCATCAGAAAATCGCTGCTGGCATCAATACTACTTCTGTTTTGCCACTTACAGAGTCAAGACTGGTATTTGGAAATTTCTGCTTTCTCAGAGCAGAGCTGTGGCCAAATACAAAGGTCAAAGGAGTAGTCATGCCTTCCTCTGTTGGCCTGTCCAGAACATAATGTGCTGGGATTCTCATAGTATTTACTCTGATAGAACCCCATTAGAAAGGGCAAAATGGCCTGAGACATTTTGCTGCCTGACATAAGAAATGAATAGTGCGTCCCCTCCCCAATTCCACAAACAGTAGTCAACTAGACTGACAGTTGAATATGTCTTCGTAATGACAAGACAGCCCAAAAAACCTGCCACAACCCAATGACAGGACAGCTTCTTCCAATGCCTTAGAAAGCAAGCAGGCTACCTTTGGAGGACAGGAAAGTCCACAACTAACATACAGTCCTGTCCTCCCAACACTTTACTGCCATTCTCTGTTTCCTTGGTCTGAGCTAGCTGCCTTGAGGGTATGTGTGACACTGCTACTACAATAAACTGGTATGTGATGGTAAAAGTTAAATAGGGTACTGCTAAAAATCAGTGGTGTCATTAGTTTGTGCCTTACATAAAAGTATCACAACTCCAAAAAGTTTGAATAAACATTTAATTTCTATAGAAGAGCCAAGAGATATTAATTACTAGATTCCTCAAGAGCAGACTTAGCATTAGACTATTAAACTACATATAGCATATCTCAAGAAACAAGCTAAGAGTTGGAAATGACAACCTTATAGCCTCGATTCTGGTCCCCCTGATGTCAATACCAAAATTCCCAATGGCTTCAATTAGCACCAGAATGTGGCCCATTTATGTTAAACCCTCTGTCAAGCAAGTGATCTGTTAGCTATAAACTTTTAATGTCCGATTACCTCTTGAATCCTTTTGAGCCAGAGCAGCTAAAGAAAAAAAGAAAAAAGCAACCAAGTTTCCCTTTTTCTGGTATTCCTGTTTTCCAGCTTCCAAGGAATGAGGTGTGTCTTGACCCTTAAAAAGGGGGGAAAAGAATGATCTGAAATATAAAAATAGTTTCTTCCCAGATGTTGTTAAAATGAATGTCACATCCTAAAGAAAGATCCCTTTTCAGGCACAGAAGGGCCAGAATTTGTGGCTGGGGAAAACAAAGCTTGATTAGGATTAGGACTTGAATTCATCCCGGTGGGAATATAATACAAACTTTCCATGTAGTTGCCATCAGCAGTCTGGGCAGGCGGAGGAGCTTCATTCTTTGAAAAATGGTTGAAATTTTCACTGACATTTGGATTGTCTTGAAGAGGTGGTTGGTCTTGAAGGTCCAGATGGGCAGCTGGTGCGGCTGGAGGGGGAGGGGGAAAACCTGGAAACCCAGAATACGACATGTACGGTGGTCCATAACCTCCTGCATTCATGGCCATTGGTGGGAATGGAGACTGATAAAGCCCACTGTGTGGTGATAGTGGGACTGGTGGTATCAACACTTCAATGTATTGCCCTGTCTCCGGATCATAAAGCATTTTCAACTGAGGCTGCCTTGGTGATTCCATATAATAGCATTTCCCACTCTCTGGGTCAACTAACATTTTGCGATGCGCTTGAAGTGGTGGTGCAGCATAGTGTCTGGTTGGACTTGGGGCACTCTTACCACATGGCGAAGTTCTTTCATTTCTTCTTGTGAAGCTGGGAGATTCTTCAAGTCTTGAGGGAAGTGGCCCATGGCTTGAGTTATGAGGATACAAAATATTATCAGAAGTTGCTTTCCTTTCCATTTGTTTAGGTGGGTAAAACTCATTGTTTATTTTATTTCCTGGTGCTTCTCCAGTGTGCTGGGAAGAGACATTAAAAGGGAAAGAGGCATTATCCGTAGACAAAGGCAGAGGTTGTTTAATGGGTTCCTCAGGTTGATGGGCTTTCACAGGAATTGTTAAGTAATTTGTGTTGTCAGCTTGGGTGGCTGAAAAATACTGTTCATTTGTTGTCTGATGCTTATTATTAAAATAATCACACCCTGGATCAGGGAGTTTTCTACAAGAGGCAGATGGTGTAAAAGATGAGTTTGATATCACTTTAACTCCTTCACTATATTCCTTTGTTGTTAGTGGGCTGTCTGAAATGTATTCCGAGTGTATTTTGTTGTGCCTCTCGAAGGGCTTGGCATCTTCCTGTCCTTTAGTTTCAGATGCACTGTCAACAAAATGGTGACTTGCTAGAGTCTGTGTCTGAATATTGTGGGTGCTTGTTGTTGGAGGCCTGGCAGTTTGTGGGTCTCTGCAGCTCTCATGGGATGGAGCATATCTAGAGAATGTATTTTCTTCTTTCAAAAAACTAGATGAATCTTTACTATCTCTAGGAGACACTGAAAAGACCTCACTGGATAAATGTTTTGGATAGGACAGTCCAGCTTCTTGGGCTTTGCAAGGCTCCGGAATATGGCTTGTGGTCACAGAACCATGATCTCTTCTTGTGATTTCCTGAAGACATGCAGTAGGTGGTATTGCAGTGGTCTCTGATGAAGCCACGGCTTTGTTTTCTCTCAACATGTTATTATTAGACTGTATCAATCCTTCTTTTACAGTCCTGTCATCAAGTGTGGAACAACTTGAAGCAGGGAAATAATCAGTCTCTGTTTTGTGTGACTGTTTGGTGACAGAACTGTTGACTTTGATATTGAGTTGAGACTCTTTTTTGGAAGCTGAAGAAGGTCTGACATTTAATTCACTTCGCTCATAAGGTACTGATTTATTTTCAGCCTGGGATGAGAAGTCTTTATTTTCAGTAACAAGCTTCTTTGACTGAATTGTAGTGATATGCACTGGAGATTCGCCCACTGCAGAGCCTTTCTTTTCTGGATGACATGCAGTTTTGTTTCCATGTGATTGTCCAGTGGGGTGTAAACTGTCAGTGGATTCTCTGCTGCTTGTGCTCTCATCATGTAGAGAAAGTGTTGACACATCAAGGTCCTCCATTTGGTCTTGCTTTTTCTCCGGCAGAGGGTTTACTGTTGGTGATTCATCTTTCCGACATATTGAGGTACAATGTATGAATAGAGGTGAGATGGCCATTGAGTCCCTTGGCAATACAGTTAAGTTGTTTTCACTCTTGCTTTCTGAATAGGAAGCCTGGTCTGCACTGGAGCTGTCTGAGGATTTCAAAGCAAGGTTGTAACTGTCACTCACCAATTTTCTGACATCTCTGGGAGGATGTGTTCTTATCTTCCCTTTGCTTTCTATTTGAGTAGATTCCTCTGTTTTCAAGCAGTTTGTTTTTTCACAGTGTGTCTTGCCAGAAGATGGAAATGAAACAGATGAAAGTTTCATGCTCTGAAATGTAGGCAACCTCCTCTCACTGGAAACTCTGTCCAAAGGTGGGCGCCTAGAAGCATGAGGAATATTGTGCTCCTTCTTGCTCTGAGGGATGAGTTTCATTTCTTTGGTTTTCGATGTGAAGATGTTCCTTGAAGCATCTCTGGGTACTATGAGGTTTTTAGGCTTAATGGGAAACATTTCCTCTTTTGTCAAGGTATGCATGTTCTGACGAATAGCTCGTTGCTTCAAGTTTGGCCAAGGCTTTTGTGGCTTTGCAAATTTTGGCACGGGAGCTAAGCATTTTATATCAGATTGCATAGACTCAAACACAGCTCGCGCTCTCTTGTATTCTTTTCTTTCCCCAGAAACCTGCTTCCTGTTGTTGCTTGATTCTGTCATATTCACACCACCCTCTGCCAAGATCGGGAGCCTCTTCAGCTGAGTGGCTTCTTGATATTTCATCCTCTCATTCAGTTCATTAAATGTTGTTTTCAGTTTGCAAACCTTTTCCCTTAGTTGCTCATTGAGTACAACTCCCTTGGTTGGTCTCAAGGCATCCATGCTGTCATCCTTGCTCAGTGCAATGGATTCAGACTTCTCGCTGGTAGTGGAATGACTTTGCATATCTTCAGTTGAAAAGCTGCAGTCTGACTTGGACAAGGAACTTGATTTGCCTTCTAAACTGTCCCCCTGGATATCAGTACTTACAGAGGAAGGGACAGAAGAGGTTGAGCTGCCCTGGATAGATGCTTGTTCCATTTTAATTCTTTGTTCATACTGCATTTTTTTAGCCAATACATTTCTCACCAAGCTTGAAGCAAGCCTAGTTTTGTTGTAAGCATTGTTTAAAGAGGCTGCTTTCAGAAATTGTTTGTAATTGATCCTAAACTCATCACTGATACTCCTCGCTTTCGCACACGACTCTTTCCTGGCTTGGGTTCCTTGGTTCCTTGCCTGGAGGGTGGCACATTCTCCAGCAGGACAGAAGCCCATCTCCTTCTTCTCCTTCCGTCTCAACTGGATCTGGCGTTTGGGCACCATTCTCTTTTTAGAGAGGGTCTTTTTGCCATCAGCATTATCTAGGGTGACATCGATGCATTCAAAGTGCTCCTTTCCCAACATACCACTGAGCAGTTCTGTTTCTGGGGCTTTACTAGCTCCCGAGAATTGCCGGCCTCCTTTAGAGTGTCCAGCTACCACTGTTTTCCTTTGATCGCTGCATGCAGGCCACCTGTTGATTCCATTACAATCTTCTGGCAAGGAATTAGACAAGCTGGATGATGTCCTGTTACTAGAACTATACATATCTAGGTAACTGCCCTGGGGACACGAGAGGCTCTGGAAAGACAGAGCAGTGAGCTTCTCTACTTCATTATCAGCCTCATCAGAGTCACTCAGAAAACTTGGATTTTCAACAAAATATTTGGGACATGCTGCTTTGCTACTTACAAGGCCATGAGTCCGACTGCCAAGGCTGTTTTTCTTCAGCTTGCGGACATTTGATAACATTTCCTTGGATTTATCGGAACTCAATTGTGCAGGCTGATCCAAATATTTAGGTCCGCTGTCTCCTGGCTGCAGCCTTCGTGTGGCGAGGCCCATTCTGCCACTGTATACTGGGTCTGCGCTATTCTTAGCTGTGATTGACATCTGAACCTGTTGGCTTTCCTTACTACTGGAACAGAGTTTGTCTCTGCAGGGCTGATCTTTAATAGTCCCACTGTGGTTTGCCTGCAGGTTCTGCACTCTTGCCTCTTGGAATGGCAACGGGTCTCCCAAAGTCTCACTCCTGTGGGGTGGGAAACATGCTTGAGCTCCTCCAGATGTAGCAGCATAAGTATCCCCTTTCCCTTTGCTGTTTGCACCATATGGGTCTTCGTGTGAGACATTACTGAAACTATTCAGAGTCCCGCAGAGTTGACTGACTGTAATCTTGGACATCTTGCTTCCATCAGCAGGGCTTCTTGGAGCCTCGGAGATGATCGATGTTGCCGGTGCTATACTTCCTTGTTCATATAAGTCACAGTAAGTGCATGGCTTAATATGATCTCCAGTTTCTTCAAAGTCCTCAGTACAGTCCTTAAAGCTCTCTGTTTCCTCCGAGCCTGGCGGAGTACGGTATGAAGAACTAGAAGTGTCAGAGGTGCGGTCTCCTTTGGAATGACAAGAAATGTGGCAGTCCTTCTCAGGGGAAGAATGGAAGCTGTAGGGGCTGAACTGTTTTTCTTCATTCAATCCACCAAGTCCAGAAGAAGGCTGGCTGTTTCCTGTCACAGGGGAGAACATTTTTATGCTGTGTAGACCATGTGAGTCTGAGCTGGAACAATGGGAGATTGGATCCTATCCCTGGTGTAGCTAGGACTGCTTCCTGCTCCAACTTGAGAACTTGATCTTCTGGATGAAGCTCATGTTCCAACCTCTCTCCGTTTAATCCAGTCATGATAAAGAGCAAAACCCCTGGTTGTATCATGTGCCTGTTAGAGCTATGCCGAGGAAAATAGAAACCCACACATACAGTGTGCTATAAAAACACAGCCATCAGTAAACAGGGAAAAAAATAGCAAAGCTATATTTATTTTCTTTCTCTCCAGAGCAACACAACAAGAAATCCAAATATAGAATAGCTAGTGTCAAAATATATCATTATTTAGGGAAAAGGCTCGAGGGAAGAAAAATAAAACAACTACCAAGACAGCTGTTGTGTTCATTGGACTCTCCCTTTGATTAAAGGAACAATACGCATTTGATTACAGGGCTCTCAATCCAATTGCTATCTCAAACTAACATAATTTTATAGAATTAAAGAAATCACGTACCATGTGTTGACTTTTCTTTTTTTTTTTAAATAATCTTTATTATTTTATATATATATAAAAATACACAACTATCAAAAGCGGGTATACGTTGTGTTGACTTTTCAAGTTCCATTGGTTGAGTGGAGCTACTCAAGATGAGGCAATTGGATTTAGGTCATGAGGTTTAGCTGATTAATTAGTTAATCACTGAAGCTGCATAATGTTGCATATTACTAAAATCAGAATTTTGAAGAAAAGAGCAAATTACGTATATTGGCCTTTTGGTTAAAGGTGAGGCATATGTCCTACCTGAGATGGTGTAGGACTGAAGTTTTTATTGTTGCTTGCTATTAGTTATATTACTGATTAGGACTACTGGGAACTGCAGTTCAACATCTGGAGAGCCACACATTGTTTTCCTCTGCTTTGATAGTATGTGCTGCCATAACTCCTATGTGATACTTGAAATCTAAAGCTTACATACACACATTCATTTCAAATAATGGAGTCACTGATAAGACTAGTGTTGTTGGTGTGAACCCTCAAGTAGTTTCTGAGTTATGGTGACCCTATCAAAAGGTTTTCTGGGGCTATGCGTATGTGGGTCGCCCAAGTTCACCCACTGTGTATGTAAATACTGTAACTCCCCATATTATTAATACTGTTGACAAAGAGGTAAAAAAATGACACAGCATTTTTTCCAATAAGAGATTACCTTTCTGGCTTGACAGCCCAACTGGCAAAAGTTTGCATGGAATAGTAGCATGTGTCCAAACAGTTCAGACTTTAAAAAAATGAAATTAAAGAACCGTCCCCTGGTGACACAGCGAGTTAAACCACTGAGCTGCTCAACTTGCTGACCAAGAGGTTGGCGGTTTAAATTTGGGGAGCAGGGTGAGCTCCCACTGTTAGGCCCAGCTCTTGCCAACCTAGCAGTTTGAAAACATGCAAATGTGAGTAGATCAATAGGTACCACTCTGGTGGGAAGGTAATGGTGCTCCATGCAGTCATGCCAGCCACATGAACTCGGAGGTGTCTATGGACACGCCATCTGTTCGACTTAGGAATGGAGATGAGCACCAACCCCCAGAGTCGGACATGACTGGACTTATTGTCAGGGTAAACCTTCACCTTTCTCTTACAACACAAAAGGAAGAAGCCAAAAATAATAATAATCAAAGATGATTGCTTACTGATATGTATTTTGTCCTATTACACTTCTTACTCAGGATGTACATGTAGGGCACAAACTTAAGAAAAACTAAAAGGTGGCATATACCTTGAATCTTCAATATGAGATTAAATGTGTAGATTAAATGGCTATACCAATCTATCGATGAAGACTGATTCTATTCCAGGATCTTTATCCTGCAGATCTTTTCTAGATGGAAGTAATAGCTAAACTGTAATTTCAGAAGGATTCATCATATCCACAGTGAGACTAGCCTTTTTGCATCACCACTAACTGTAGACAGGAAATCAGAAGAGATCAACAATAAAATTTCTTTCCATTTTTAGGTTTTAAACAAGTTTTCACATTTTTAAATACTCAGCAACAAGACATATATGACACATGTAGAGGGCCCTTGGTATCTTCTGGGGTTTGGATTACCCCCCCCCACCCCCCACTCCTCTCTAGATACCAAAATCTGTAGCTGCTTAAGTCCCATTATATACAGTTATATAATAAAATGCTATCCCTTATATACAATGTTTTGGATATTATATATAAAAAAATTCCAAGCCAGGTTTGGTGGAATCTGTGAATGCAGAATCCTGTTTTCTCTATGGGATCAATTTCAAGTTTTTGTATGATTGGGTGCCAGTCATTGACTTGAACAAATATCACAATATCAAAATCAAATTTTCCTGGACATTTGTTGTTATTTCCCTTTAACTGAACTCCAGGTCACTCTCTCATAGGATTTTCTTGGTAAGATTTATTCAGAAGCTTGCCATTACTTTCCTTTCTCTCAGGCTGAGAGAATGTGATCTGCTCAAGGTAACACAGTAGGTTTCCATGGCTGAACACAGAGTGAACACACATTTTGAACAAAGAAACTTGATCTCCAGGTTTCTAGACCAACACTTAAACGCTTACACTGTTCTGGCCCTTCTCCTTGTATCCCAATGCTCCATCACTTCAAATTATGATTAAAATGATTAACTTCATTTGTTTTAAGTATCTAATTAAAACTTGCAATTCCGTTTCACATTGAATTTGCAACATCCACTCATCCATAAAAATGACTATGACTGGCTTGAATCCAAAGAAATATGGATGGAAGAAAAAATGCAGTCCTGCAGTTCAAATTGATTCAATTAATATGTCTTTACAACATACAAACCACTGAACGCTGGAAGTTGTATCACTACTGAACCATTAAAACACCTTGGGAATTAAAGAATATAAAGTTTAATATAAGAGGTCGCAACCCTCGCCCCCCATAAGGAAATCTTTGGGATACTTTTCTCATGTAGAGAAAGTCTGAAAATGGTAAAAGGTTTTTCTTTAGTGGTGGGACTCTTTGAGATCCAATCCACTGTTGCCATAATAAAAGCTTTGCTGTAATTACCCAATTATGAAAACATTTACATCTTAGAAGTGTACATTTTTGAAATAATCTAACATTTTTACCACTACGGCACGTATTTTTTGTGGAACTGAAATATTAATGTCCCTTCCCCTTTGGCAATCCTTTGAGGTCATTATCCTAGTCACCCCCAAAACACATCAGAGAAAAGTCTGCCGCATCATCCAGACTAGCCTCTTTCATCACGTCTGCTAAATGTTTTGATGGAGATGAAATAAGCCTTCTTTTTCGGGCGAAAATAATTGTTTCTTTGGTGTGAGGACCGTGAGTGCCAGGGGCTCCTGCTCATTTTGCTTGCTTTGTTTGGCTTCTTTGAGGACAATAGGATTGTTCTGACTAGGCTTTCTCCAACCCCCTCCCCTTCTGTCTTGGTCTATTTTCTATAGTCAAGTCTGCTTGACAACCCTGGAGCCACTTGCTACGGTAGCACCTCTGCTTTCCCCCTCCCAGATATATTTGTCTCTATTTAAGCTAACCAAAATTGCATTAGGCTACAATTACCATCATCCACTACAGACAAGGCTTCTTGGATTGTAATGGGAGCTGTAGCTCTGCAAGTCAGGAAGCCGCTGTCTTAGAGACAGCTGTCTTAGTGAGTTTCACCTCACATTTCCCAATTGCATTTGGTCTTAGGTTATGAGCAAATGTGAATAAAGCTTCCTGTTAACTATATGAATTTGTGCAGTGTATCTTTAGTTTTTACTAGCCGTCCCCTGCAACGCGTTGTTGTGGCCCAGTCTGTGTATATGTGTTTTGTGTGTGTATATATGCGTGTATATATTTGTGTATATGTGTGTTTGCGTGTGTGTGTGTGTGTGTGTGTGTATATATATATATATATATATATATATATATATATATATATATACACCCACACATATATATGTATGTATATGGTTTTGCACATGCATTGCAATGTATATTCTATTTTTTAGCATTTTAAATCTCTTCCGCTGTGTTTTCCAGTGTTTTTATGAGTGATGGTCACTTGTTGGCCTGATAGGTGTCTTGTGTACAAATTTAGTGTCAATTTGTCCAGTGGTTTTTGAGTTATGTTAATCCCACAAATGAACATTACATTTTTATTTATATAGACTAGCCGTCCCCTGCCACACGTTGCTGTGGCCCAGTCTGGTGATTTGGAAAATAAAGAAATGAGAAAGTGTTTGTTTCTAATATATGTAATTTCTTGATGCTTGTGGGTAAACAGTATTTCTTGTTGTTTCTTTGTCAGTGTTGATATGGAGAGTGTCTGGTTTGCCTACTCTGGAATATGCAACGTATCATTGTCTTTCTTTAGGGGTCCCTTTCAAATCTATATCTCTCTGTGTGTGAGTCATATCTATCTATCTATCTATGTCTATGGCTGGATGGCTCTTTGTCAGGAGGGCTTTGATTACATTTTCTTGCCCTGGTGAAGAGAGTTGGACTGGATGGCTTTAAGTATTTTCTGTTGGTCATAGGGGCTCTGTGTGGGAAGTTTGCCCCAATTCTGGGATTCAAAATGCTCTTTGATTGTAGGTGAACTATAAATCCCAGTAACTACAACTCCCAAATGTCAAGATCTATTTCCCCCAAGCTCCATCTGTGTTCATATTTGGGCATATGGAATATTCATGCCAAGTTTAGTCCAGATCCATCATTGTTTGAGTCCACAGTGCTCTCTGGATGTAGGTGAACTACAACCCCCAAATTCAAGGTCAATGCCCACCAAACCCTTCTAGTGTTTTCTGCTGGTCATGGGAGTCCTGTATGCCACGTTTGGTTCAATGCCATAATTGGTGGAGTTCAGAATGCTCTTTGATTGTAGGTGAACTATAAATCCCAGAAACTACAACTCCCAAATTACAAAATCAAAATTTTGAGTGAAGGACATACATTCGGTTGTTAGGTGTATGCTGTCCAAATTTGGTGTCAATTGGCGCACTGGTTTTTGAGTTCTGTTAATCCCACAAATCAACATTACATTTTTATTTATATAGATTAGTGGTATGTCAACCTATCACCAACAAATTGCCTTATATGATAAATTGGTTTATACAATCTGTTCCCTGAATGATAAACTAGGTAGAAAATAGGTGGATTAGACTCTAGAAAAAGCTGAAGTAATGATGGTCTATCTTTGCTTCTGAATGCATCTTAGTCTTTGGACAAAAATCATGGTGGAAAACAAGAGGGCTTTCCATACACAGTATCTTGTGAGAAGGCGAAGGCTATTTTCATCTTGTGCATATCATTCATACAATTACAACCTTGGTGCTAGACTCAAGGAATTTGCTGTGTAATAGCAATGAGCAAAAAAGCAGAGAGGACTCCACTCACAGATCTCCCTGTGAACTGCAGTGGGTTTTTCACTCCCACGGAGGAAAAAAGATCCCCTTCCACCATGATAAATAATATTGCTAAAATGAAGAAAGCCTGAGGCAAGCCTAA